TATTAAAAAAGTTCTCTCTCTCTCCCCCTCACCTTCTCTCACTCTCTCTTTAAAAAAAAAAGAAATACTAACTTTAAAGACATCTTGGCAGCTAAAAATAGATAAAAGGATATTTATGTAGAAGGCAGATTTAATCTATCCCAAACATAAACTTTTATTACCATCATCACCATCACTATATTTCCTTGATTATACGGTGCTATTAATTATAAATCACATCATCAGTTTAGTAACAGTTTCCTGGTAAATTAAGGAACATACATTAAATCCACACACAAAAACGCAAAGATGTATGTTCTCTTTTTTTTTAGTTGTCTATGGACCTTTATTTTATTTATTTATATGTAGTGCTGAGAATTGAACCCAGTGCCTCATACATGCTAGGCAAGTACTCCACCACTGAGCTACAACCTCAGCCCAACATGCAGATTCTTACAACAAGGAAATATTGTTTCCATAAAACCAATACTTTACACAAGCATTCTTAGGCTACTCTTTGGTGGCCATACATGTCTTTCTCTTTCAGTTCCTTTGGTGATTCCTTTAATGTCTCTTCTTGTTTACCTTCAATACTGTGAGGGAAAAGAAAGAAAATCAACATTAGCCAAATGCACTAAGTTAATACAAGAGACCAGTTTATTGACCCAGTAAGAAACAGTAGAAAGGGCACAAAGCTAGAAGTGAAAAGTGTGGGTTCTGGCTCTACTTCTAACTAGCTACAAGTTCTCTGACATGTCTGGGCCTCAGTTCTTCTTCAGAGATTGACTACTCTATAAGGGTCAGCCCAGTCCTGAAATCAACCAATAACTCAATATGACAATGAGGAAATTCCTAAGAAAATCAATGGAGCACAGGAACTTTATAGGGAGGTAAATGTTGGAGCAAGGGGCACAACCAAGAAGATTTAGCAACTATGAGACAGCTTCCTGCTATAGAATACCAAGAAAGGTCAAGAGAGGCTTGTGCCAAAAAATGGCAAGAAAATATTGAAGATGAACTTGGCCCATTTCTATTTCAACTAATATTTAAGATTCAATTTCTATACTCATTGAACACTAACTATAAGCAGATCCCATGCTAAATTCTTCCGTGTTTTCACATTTTTAATTTTTGCAACAATCCTGTAAGACCAATTGTATAAAGGAAAGAATGTGGATTTTAGGTTGACTTTTTTTTTTTTTTAAAGAGAGAGTGAGTGAGGGGAGAGAGAGAGAGTTTTTAATATTTATTTTTTAGTTCTCAGCGGACACAACATCTTTGTTGGTATGTGGTGCTGAGGATCGAACCCGGGCCGCACGCATGCCAGGCGAGCGCGCTACCGCTTGAGCCACATCCCCAGCCCTAGGTTGACTTTTAACTTTATTAATTCTGTTCACCAAAATGTATCTCCTTCTAGGCACACAGTGAAACAGCACATTTTGGGGCTCTTAATTTACATAAATGATTTTAAGACTTGTTTTAACCAATGAAATATGAGTGAAAGTAATGAGTTACTTCTGGACAGAGACTTGATAAGTCTGTGTACAATTCACCAGGTTCCATTTTTCCTGTCTTGGTGATCAAGGATGCACAAAGATGGCACCTCCCCCAGTCCACATCCCTAATAAAAGGTTATATAGTTCAGAACATCCCTGGACAACCTATGAGCCATAAATAAGAAGCATGAACAAGAAATAAACTTTTTCAGGCTTGGTAGTGTACATCTTTAATGCCAGCTAGGAGGCTGAGGCAGGAAGATTACAAATTCAAAGATAGTCTCAACAATTTAGCAAGGCCCTAAGCCACTAGATAAGACCCTGTCTCAAAACAGAAAATAAAAAGGGATGGGGGGCTGTGGCTCAGTTTGAGAATGCTTCCCCGGCACATGTGAGGCCCTGGGGTCAATTCTCAGCACCACATACAAATAAATAAATAAAGGTCCATCAATGACTAAAAAAATATTTTAAAAAAAGGGGGGGCCTGGGGATGTGGCTTAGTGATTAAGTGCCACTGGGTTCAATATCTAGTACCCTTCCCCCCAAAAGAAAGAAACTTCAGTTGTTTTAAACCACTAAAATTTAGGGGATCTGCTCAATCCTGAATGATTAGAAATGTGAACTTAGAAATATTTAAACTTTCTGAATTTTGTCCCACCCTCACCACATCTTTTTTTTTTTTTTTTTTGGCGGAGGCGGTAGGGAGGGAGGTGGTACAGAGATTGAACTTAGAAGCATTCAACCACTAAGCCACATCCACGGCCCTATTTTGTATTTTATAAGAGACAGGGTCCTACAAAGTTGTTTAGCTGGCTTTGAACTCACAATCCTCCTGCTTCAGCCTCCTGAGCTGCTGGGATTACAGGCATACCTACCACGCCCTACTATTTTTAATAATTTTAACATTTTCAAGAATTTTATGTAAATGGAATCAAACAGTAAATAACTTTTGGGGATATCTTCTTCCTGTAAGCATAATTCTCTACAGATTTATACATGTGTTGCATGTATCCATAGCTCATTCCCCTTTAATCTGAGTAGTACCTTTGGTATAGATGTTCCACAGTCTGGTTCATCATACATATTATGATGACATGTGGGTTTCTGATTTGGAGTTTTTACAAATGCATTTTCTAATAAATATTTGTGTACATTTTTTATAGATTTATTTTTAAGTTGTAGTTGGACATAATACCTTTATTTTATTTATTTATTTTTATGTGGTGCCAAGGATCAAACCCAGGGCCTTGCACGTGGTAGGCCAGTGCTCTCCTGCTGAGCCACAACCCCAGCCCTGGGTACATTGTTTTTATGTAAACACTAAGTCTTCATTTCTTTAGGACAGATGCTCAGAAGTTACAGAATTACTTTTAATTCCAATTTCAACATTCTTTATTTTATTATTTTATTTTTTTGAAGATGGACACAATACCTTCATTTATTTATTTTTATATGGTGCTGAGGATCAAACCCAGTACCTCATACGTGCTAGGCAAGCACTCTATCACTGAACTACAACCCCAGCTGTCAACATTCTTATCCCTATTTACAGATGAGGATACAGAAGAGGGAAGGGACATGTTACCAAGGTCACATGAATAGAATGTCAGAGTCAGGATCTGCATACAGATAATTTCTACCCCTTAAATTCTGTTTAACAAGTTCAAAACCAATATTTGTAAGATAGGGGAAAACACATTTGAAAACAAGTAATGAATGCATAAGTATGTGGCTTTCTCAACATTAATATTGCTTCTGAGTATGAAACTGAATAAGACATAATGCCCATATGTTTGTATAAGATACAACAGCCCATACCTTTGTATAGGTTGAAACTGAGGCCTGGTCAAAATCTCAGCATTCCTTCCAAGGATTTTTCTCATTTGGAATATTTCCTTACCTTAAAGAATAAAGAAATGTATTTTTACTAATACAGATTATTATCTTCATTTTCTAGAATTTTCCTTGATCTAGTCTAGAATGAAAAATAATCTGCATAGAAAAGTACTTCCCTATTTGGATTTGAACTGAATGTTGTATAGAAGGTTTTTTGCTCTGAAAGTTTATTTTCCTTGATCAGAGGGGAGAACTATATTCTGACACTCAGAATACAATTAAGCTATTTACTGGCCTTTCAGTTATAACCACACAGTTATTTCTAGAGACAAATGTTGTTTGTCTTTTCAAGAATGCAAACTGACCCAGTTCCAGTCAATGGACACCAGGGGGCGTTGAAACCAAGAATGGTTTGTTCACTAAAGCTACCAAACAGAAAATATTAGTTGGGCATTCCCAGAGAGTTAACTGTGCCTCTTAGCCATCAAATACCCTCTAAAGTGAGGGGGCAGAGAGTGGGGTCTTGAATATGAGGAGCTAGTTTGACTGTCTTGTTTCCCTTAGCATCAAGTGTCTGAAGTTATTTCTCCCCAATTCTCAGGAAAATACTTTCCAGATATCTAGGCAAATAGAAGTAGTATCCATTTTCCTTACCAGTATTAACTATTCTAGTTTATGAAGATGGGGGCATACAGAGCAGCCTGCCCTGATTCCAAATGCTTCAAACTCCCTATACCTATCCTAATCCTTAGGGGCAGGTGATCTGGTAGGTACTAGGAATGCATACCAGAATAATCCTGCCTTTAGCAGACAGATACCAAGAAGCTCTAAAACACTCACCAGTAGAGAAACATTGGGGTTCTTCTTCCTTCAACATTCCCCCCCACCACCTTTTGTGGGATGGAATCCAGGGGAGCTTTACCTCTAAGCTACATGACTAGTCCTTTTTATTTTTTGAGACAGAGTCTTGCTAAATTGCAAACTTGCAATTCTCCTACCTCAGTCTTCAAGTTGCTGGGACTATAGGCATGTACCACTGTGTCCAGCTTCCTGTGACTCTCTTAAAATGATAAACACGTAGATAGCATAAACTTTTAAAAAATATTTCCTAATAAGTACAACTAGAACCGAAGAAAACTTAAGAGACTTTTTAAAAGTCTGACCCCCTCTCCTTTATACTAGGGGAGAGTGGGGCCCTGGGATGAAGTGGCTTGTTCAAGGTACACAGAAAAAAATTGATGGCAGAACAATAGTTTAGAACCTATCATGTGGAGCTGGGGATGTGCCTTTGTGGTACAGTGCTTGCCTACTATGTGGAAGGCCCTGGGCTCAATCCCTAGTATTGTACAAAAAAAAAAAAAAGTGATAATCTAACATGCATCCCACTGTACTCATCCTTCCCTGGTGAAGAAGGAGATAATATATCAGAGCCCTAAGGGTGGGGGTACAAAAAGCCTGAAAGAAGGGAGTAAAATACATGTACTTCAGATGTTTGTATGAAATTGGCTCTGGTTTTCTGACCTGTCTGCCTTTCTATTTCTCCAAGCTACTCAACTCTCCTCCAAATACAAGTGGCCATGTTCAGAGTAGGCCCACAGAAAGTGATCATGGGTAAAGCTTCAGCAGGAAAAGGTGAATGACTCAAGTCCCTGAGGTTTTCTTATACATATCCTGAGAATGTAATTGTTTAAATAAAAGCTTGTAGCTTCTTAAAATGCTCCTGACTCTGATAGGAGCTTGAATCAAGTTAGGGTTGGAAGCTGGAGTGTGCAGTAGGTGTGAGGTACCCTATCTGTCCAGGTTCAGAAGGTTGAGATGCCACTATGGAGATCTACATAGCCCATTAGGTGGATAACTCTGGTTTAAAAATACATGTTTATCCTGGCATGGTGGCACACACCTATAATTTCAACTACTCAGGAAGCTGAGGTAGGCCAGCCTCAGTAACTTAGCAAGACCATGTCTCAAAATTTTAAAAGGGCTGGGGACGTAGCTCAATGGTAAGGTTGACTAGCATGGGTGAGGCCCTAGGTTTGATCCCCTGTACTGCAAAAACAAAAAAAGGAAGAAATAAACAAAAATTCTTGCATACCTTAAAATTTTTAAATGTCTGTAACAGTACCAATAGTTCATTTCTACCTTGTCTTGCACCACTCTCCTGGCTGCAGAGAGCCCAAAGCCTCCCAAGGGGTGATGTTGAGTTGAATCTGCATTATTGGGAGGGGGATGGGGGCAGAGGTACTGGAGACTGAACCCAGGGGTGCTCTACCCTGAGATACCTTCCCAGTCTTTTTTATTTTAAGACAAGATCTCACCAAATTGCTGAATCTGGCCTTGAACTTGTGATCCTCCTGCTCAGCCTTCCAAGTCACTGGGATTATACTGTGCCCAGCTGGCTATTATTAACTTTATGCTAAGATATTAAGCAAGCAAAGAGAACTAAAGATGAAACTGCCTTCTAGAGAAAAACATGAAAATCAAAATTCCCGGATTTTTTTGTATCAGTAACTAGCTCTGTGGCTTGAGCAAATCCTTCAGGTTGCTCAGCAAAAATAACAGTACTTTCTGTGTATCACCAAGGATCCTAAAATCTAGTGAAAAAGAGTGTGTGTGGTGGTAATGAGGCAAGGAGCAGCAAGTACTACAGTGTATTTATAAAAATACAAGGGGAAGTATAAATAACACCATATATATCATTAGGCTGGTGAGGAGCAAAGGAGTCAATCTAATAAGGGGAGATCACTGTGCCTTGTTTTCTTCATCTGCAAAATGGTCTTGATGAAGTTATCTCTAACGTCACTTCCAGCTCTGCATATCCATGATCCAAAAGAAAGCAAAGGCGAATGGCTATCAAATGAATCTGTCCTAGGGCTTACCACAGACTGGAGGTTGGGCAAAGGCACCTTGTATTTCTTCAAAGTCCTTTTCTATGGGACTTGAGGTCTACAAAGAATAAAAGAAAAGTAAAGAAAGAAGATTCAATTGAGGCATAAATATAAAAAACTTCAGAAGGAACTGAAAAATTATTGAAAATTATTGAAGCTGGGTAAGAGTTCCATTGGGCAGGGCATACTGTTCTTTCTGACTTTGATTTCTTTTTCTTTTTCTTTTTTTTCTTTTGTGGCACTCAAGCCCTTACACATGGTAGGCAAGTGCTTTACCATAGCCCTCTTGATCCTAAAGTCCCTACATCTTTTATAGGAAAAGAACAAACCTGCTTCACAGACATTATTTATTTATGGTATTTCTCTCAGCAACAAGCCATCCCTCCATCTCCTATCATGAAGAGGAATTTTGTGACTTCATTTATATCGCTCTCTCCTGCTCATCCCAATCTCCCAACAAATTAGAAGAGAGGACATGTATGTGTGATATGTGTATCCTACACGAGTGTGTATGTTTTAAAAATATTTTTACTAAAGATTTATTAACATCTCAGTCTATGCACTGTTAATAAAGAATACTTAAAGGATTGTTAATAAGGGAAAACTGTTCCGGGTTTTCAGAAGTGGAAACAAGTGATAAGTATACTTTCTAAAATGTTGTTATTGTTGTTGTTGTCAATGGACCTTTAGTTTAATTATTTATGTTATGCTAAGAATTGAACCCAGTGCCTCACACATGCTAAGCAAGCACTCTACCACTGGGCTACAACCCCAGCCCATGTAATAATTATACTTTTGATGCATTCTGAATTCTTCTTGTCAGTCAAATGCTGTGACTTTCCTTTCCTCCACCCCACCTTTCATATTGATAAAAAGATTTTCCAAAACAGTGGCAGAGATTGGGGAGAGATGGGGAAGAAATCATATAAGTAATAAAAGAATCCAATTAATTTCATTTTACAAGTGAAAATACTCTGTACAAGCAGGTTCATGCAAAAGCTAGCAGACTCCCAAGAAAACCCGAGTACTGAACAGTCTCATGTTTTTTGCTGAATGCTTTCTTCTGTCCTGGTTCTCCTGCCACTAAAGCTTGGCAAACTGGATTTAATTACCTATATCTGCAAGCCACCAGTTCTTCGTAGAGAAGAATGACAACCTTGTTCTTTTCCCCACAGAAAAAACACGTGAATCAGACACCATGAATGAAAGAAAGTATTTAGAAAAAAATACAAAGTGCTGTACAGACGCAGATACCTTAATTTGGGGGAGAAATTGCATATGACCTTTCATTTTAAAAACTCTTATTTTTCAAAATTTTAAAATCATGTATGCAAACAATAGTAAGTGGGCATTGGATACATCTATGTGTAAACTAGTTTTCTTAATTAAAATGATCTATTTTTTAAAAAAAGATTTTTTAATTGTCAATAGTCCTTATTTGTTTATATGCAGTGTTGAGAATCAAACCCAGGGCATACACGTGCTAGGCAAGCACTCTACCACTGAGCCACAACCCCAAACCAATAAAAATGATTTAAAAGGAACAAAGCAAAAGAAAAACTTGAAAACATACTTTACCCTGAATGTGATTTTTACCTCTAGAGCTAAGTTTTCTTGAACAGTAGAGGAGTAAAAATACTCATATTCTGGAGTTAAAAATTCATCTGTTATGTCTTCAGAAGATTCTGGTGAACAAGTTGATTGTACAGATTGGTCCTATTAATAATACAGGAAATCACTTTTAAGTCGCTATTTATTATAAGCAAATGTCTTTACAGCAAAACACAGTGTTAAAAAAAAGGTCATCTAAAACTACCCAGCAGTCAGCTCATGCACTTAACTTGAGTACTCTGCCTTCCTTTGTGGTGGGAAAAGGTGGTTATGAACTGCTGGGAGTAAGTATGGAAGAACAATATTCCTGAGTCTCAGCATCTAATATGCAGAATGGGTGCAGATTAGAGAAACGATGCTCAAAACTCTTTGACAACTCAAGCTGAAGATCGAATTTAAACACCCTGATCCCTCAAAGGCACAGAAATGGTCTGCATGTTGGCATCATGGTACACATGAGGAGACTGAGGCTCCTTAGTACTTGGAAGTCCTTCAGGTATTACAGTTTAGAGGCAAGAGAATGAGCATGACTTTTGGAACAACAATGCAATCTCAATAATAAAAAATAAAATCCAAATATTAAAAAGTACAGAGCATATCCATTCTACCCTTCCTTTTTCTGCTTATTTTGCTACACTGAAGCCCTGACTACCACAGCATCAGACAACTTTCTTTTCCCTACCTTCAGACATCTCTTTGCAGACATTTTGTGACTTATTTCCTTGGACACTGCTTTTGCTGCACCCTTTCCCTCCTAGTACACTTAATAGTTGTCACATTGAAATTTCTCAGATAAGCCTAGTCTCTCCCATACTACAGGGAAGCTCCTTCCTTGACCTGCTTGTTTAGCTCAATGTAGCATGCGCTTCCAGTCCTCACATGAGAGAAAGAACAAATTATCCTGAGTGCTCTGTTCAATATGATTAAATATGGGCTGGGGATGTGGCTTGAGCGGTAGCGCGCTCGCCTGGCATGCATGCAGCCTGGGTTCAATCCTCAGCACCACATACAAACAAAGATGTTGTATCCGCCGAATACTAAAAAATAAATATTAAAAAATTTAAAAAATATATGATTAAATACAATGCTGTACTGGATTCTTCAAAAGACTTTACATTTTATCACTACTGTATTTTTATATGTGTCATTATCAATTGCTCTCTACATTCTATAAACAGTCATGGCCCTAATTTTTTTTTGTGTGTGTATGGTACTGGGGATTGAACTCAGGGCCTTGTGCATGTGAGGCAAGCATTCTACCAACTGAGTTATATCCCCAGCCCTTCTATCTCTAACTTCTATAGATATTATTTTGGTGTCATAATATGTAATGACAACTTTGCTCTACTTTATTAGGTCTTTGGGCTCAACTTGGTTCTCCAGACCATATTACTTACACTGTAGGATTTCTCAACTGCCACAGATGCATCAGAACTTGCTTGAAAGGATTCACTATGCTCTGGCTGCTCATTTTTTCTGGGAGACAGGTGCCTGATACCTAATGATTATATTCACAATCAAGGTCATGGTCATGTAGCGATATTCAGATAACATTAAAGGGTGTCCACATCCCATATGTTAGCTTTGTTGTAGAGAGCAGACACTGTTAGTTTAGCCTGGCCCAAAAAATGAAGCCCTGGATTATCCAACCTTTTGCCCAAAAATTCAAGAGTGATACTTGGGACTAAGGATGTGCCTAGCAATATAAGGTCCTGGGTTCAACCTCCAGCACTGTGAAAAAAAAAGAAAAAAAGACACACACACATACACACACACACACACACACACACACAATCGAGCCTTATCTATCTATCTATCTATCTATCTATATCTATCAGTACTGGGGATTGAGCCCAGGGGCACTTTATTACTGAGCTACATCCCTGACTCTTTTAAAATTTTCAGATAAGATCTCCCTAAGTTGCTTTAGGGCCTCGCTACATTGCTGAGGCTGGTCTCAAACTTGCAATCCTCCTGCCTCAGTCTCCCGAACTGCTGGAATTACAGGTATGTGCCACTGTGTCCAGCAATGGTAATTTCAGGTGTTTTTAACTCACAACTGTGAAATAATATCTCATGTCCTGATTGTAAGCAGATTACCAAGTGAAAATACAGTTATCGAAGGTTCAAAGCCAGTCTCAGCAATTTAGCAAGGCCCTATGCAACTCAGCAAGACCATCTCAAAATAAAAAAATAAAAATAAAAAGAGCTGGGAATGTAGCTCAGTGTAGCACCTCTGGGTTCAATCCCCAGTAACCTCCCCCAAAAAAAGCAAAGAAATGAGCAGTAGGAAGCCGTGGTCTACCTCCTCCCTCAGGTAAGGAAGGTTCAGTTACTTGCTAGATTACCTCCAGGACCAGAGTCAGTAAATGAAGATTATTTTACTTCCTTTGGACAAAGGAATCTTGTTTCAGTAATAGAAAAACTTAAGAACCAGGCTCAGCGGCTCATGCCTCTAATCCCAGAGGCTTAGAAGGCTGAGGCAGTTAAAGGCCAGCCACAGCAACTTAGTGAGGCCCTAAGCAACTTAGTGAAACCTTGTCTCAAAAATAAAAAGGTCTGGGGATCCCTGGTACAAAAAAACCCAAAAAAAACCTTATGAATCTCTGGATAGCTTTGTGTGAAGCACAGTGCGATATAAGGGGTCTGCTGCTTTTCTTTGGAATTCAAGTTTCCCAGAAAGGTAAGAAAGAAAAGAGTATGAATCAAAGGAAATATGCCAGGTTTACTTATTTCTGAGAGCAGATAACTTGATAGAGTTCACCTAACACAATTCCCCCAACCAAACTTACTGGTGAATCTTTGAGGCTCAGGCTGTTTGCTGTGCTTGTCACTGTCACAGCCACTACTGTCCATTTTTTCAAATTTGACATTTCCTCCTGGCTCACCATTTTCTCTGTGATACACTACAACTTGCTTCCAGTCCATGTTTTGAGAGCCCTTAACAGGGGGCTGCATCAAAGGAGCAGGCTGATTTTCAGCTTCACTGTTTAAAGTCAAACTACTTTGAGGATGCCAAGGAGGTACTGTGAGCTGCCCAGTAGCTGCTTTCTCTGCCATTTCTTTCACTTCCACTGGGCACAAAAGAAACCAGCATTTAAAACATCACTATGAACATTGTAAATAAAAGCCTTCATCTTTAATGTATAATACTACTATAGCTCATATTGTAATAATGATTGCCTTCCTACAGTTATTATCTTCTCTTGCCCTGTTTGGCTTAAAGGGAAAACAAATGACAGAGCAAAGGAAGGGAATTTCAGTTGGTTAACCTAAACAACACCCTTGTTGTTGAATTCCAGAGTAGATGGCAACAGAAAACTTGTAAACGGACCCTCCTACTAATTTAACAAGAAAAATGACATCTGAAATTCCCAGCCCATAGTAATTAATGAAAAGAATTCTATTTGAGTTTGTTTAGCCTTTGTAGACTATAGTGAGATTATATGTGTTTTCATTTCAAATGTTCTACACTTCTGTTCATGTCACTTAGTACTAGTATTAAAAAACAGGCATATGAGGGGGCTGGGGTTCTGGCTTAGCAGTAGAGTGCTCACCTAGCATGTTCGAGGCCCTGGGTTTGACCCTCAGCACCACATAAAAATAAATAAATAAAATAAAGGTATGGTGTACAACAGCCTGTGTACTTAGAAATATCAGGAAGATGAGAAATATATTTAAAATTTCATTTTGCCTAACAAAACCCATGAATTCATACTTACTTTTCCATTTTATGTGTATCTCTCCATCATCTTCATTATTTCTTGACTTTGTATTACAGATTTCAGAAGACACACCTTCTACACTGGTCCTAAATTACATAGGTATTGGAGGGAGGGAATGGGAAAAGGGTGGACACAAAAACATTTGTTCGAGTTCTTGACAAAACTCAAAGCCCACTAGTCTACTCAGACCTGTCCCCTACTTCAGCAGCTATTCCTAAAACAGCACCGACTCCTTATTACCACCAGAGGGCACAGGACTCCCAGAGTTCAGACTGCAAGGTTCCTTACCTTGCAAAGCCCTGGTGAAGGCTGGGTGACCCAGCAGGTCTTTTTGAGTGGCTTGACTCCGGAAAGAGTATACTACTTAGCTGTGTGACTTGGGCTAGCTCACTGGTATCTCTAGGCCTTCCCTGGCTGGAAAATGAAAGGATTGGGCTAGAAGATCTCTAAATTTTTTTTCAGTTTCCAAGTACAGATTTCATGATTCTAAAAATGCTCTTGGGTAATTTTTAGAAACAGAAGAAACCCACAATTGAAACAATTTCACCACACAGAGTCCATCCACCCCTCATATAACCGTAGGTGATAGCCCAGGTAACAGTTCTACTTCTACCCTTCCACAGAATTCTTCAGTAACAGGCCCATCTCTACATCAGTGATAGCACAACCAACAACTTTTGCAAAGATCCTGAAGAAGAATCCAACGCCCTCAGTTTAGTCTCACCAAGTTCTGGATCCTGACTTTGCTGGGTCAGTTGTCAGACTGGCCAATGTCAGTCTCTCTAGATGAAACTTCCTAATATGCAAAATAACTGTATATATTTTCTTAATCTAACTTCAAAAATGTGTGATCTAAATTCCCCATTGTTCAGAATGTATACACTCCAGGTAGACCAGAAGGTGGAGAAATCAGCTCTGATCAGCTTATTTAAAGAACTTTTTGGCAACAACTATCAAGAATCTTCAAAATATTCAAACTCTTTGACCTAGTAGTTCTGCTTCTGGAAATCTATCTTGAGGACATAATCCAAAATGCAGAAAAAAAATTTATTTGCAAGTCACTGTGTCCTTGTTCCTACATAAAAAATATTAAACAACCTAAAAATCTACAATGGGGGATAGCCAACAATTTCAAAAACAAGTTTACCATTTTTAAAAACATCGAGGTGCTGTAGTGCACACCTGGTGCACTCCCAGCTTCTAGGGAGGTCTGAGGAAGGAGGACTACAAATTGAAGACCAACCTGTGCAACATACTGTCTCAAATTTTTTTCACATTTTAAAAAGGGCTTGGGTGTACCTCAGGGGTAGAGCACTTGCCCAGCACATGTGAGGCCCTGGATTCCATTCTCAGTAGTAAAAATAAATAAGTAAATAAATAAATGAATGAAATTGATCTCATAGAAGTAGTAGAATGTGTAAAATGGTGGTTACCAGAGATTGGGGCTGTTAGAGGCAAAGGGGGGAGGGGGAGAAAATGGTTGGCCAAAAGATTATATAATTATGGTTTTATGGAAAAAATAAATTATAGGAGATTTACTGGGCATGGTGGCAAATACCTATGATCCCTGCTACTTGGGAGAGTGAGGCAAGAGGATTAGAAGTTCAAAGGTAGTCTGAGAAACTCAGAGAGCTCCTATCTCGAAGTACAAAATAAAAAGGGCTGGAGATGCAGCTTACTAGTGGAATACCCTGGGCTTAATCCCCAGTACAAAAAAAAAAAAAAAAAAGAGAGATCTGTTGTATAGCAGGATAACTACAGTTAATGATAATATATTCTTCAAAAATGTATAATGGGAGAGTATAATAGGAACATTATATGCTCTTACCACAAAAATGATAAGTTATGTGAGGAATTTAATTGATAATTACCTAGATTTAACTATTCTACAATGAATATATACCTCAAAACAGCATGTTGGGGCTAGGGATGTAGCTCAAAAGTAAACTGCTTTCATAGCAGGCATAAGGCCTTGGGTCCAATTTCCAGCCCCCCTCCCCCAATCACACAAATTATGCTGTATATGGTAACAGTGTTATCTGTCACTTTCTTTTTAGTTTAAAAATTATAAAAACAAACAGATGTGGGGATAAGGGTTTAGTGCAGTGGGAGGGCAATTTCCTAGAAAGTGTGAGGTCCCAGCACCATACACACAAAAAGAAAACATATTTATTTCTTCTCTAGTAATTCCCTATATGTGCCTATTATTCCAGTAACTCAGGAGACTGAGGCCAGAGGATCAAGACTGAAGCCAGACTGGGCAACTTAGTGAGACTTGTCTCAAAAAAAAAAAAAAGAAGAAGAAGGTAGGTTAGGGAGCTGGGAATATAGCTCAGTGGTAGAGTGTCCCTGGTTCAATTCCCAGTACTGCAAAACAACAACTAATAGTAAAAAATAATAATACCCCTTATATATTCTCCTATGAATTATCTGTGAGAAAGCCAATTCACTTCATTGGGCTGGAATGTAGCTCAATGGTAAAGTGTTTGCTTCACATGTGTGAAACCTGTGTTCACTTCTCCAATTCCAAAAAAAAAATAAATCCAACCAATTCACTTCATTGATATGGCTTGAAATCAGACACCCCAGGGTAACAGTGATGTTTAGCAACACATACTTTAAACAACCAACAATGCAGTTTTCTGATTAGTTTTATTTCTGAAGCACTGGTGAGTGAAATATCTGCTATTTCTTTCTTTCTTTGGCATGGGGAAATTATTCAGAGGTGCTCTACCACTGAGCCACATCCCCAGCCTTTTTTTGTATTTTATTTAGAGACAGGGTCTCACTGTGTTGCTTAGAGCCTTGATAAGCTGTTGAGACTGATGCTTTGCTTTTGACAACTGATGAGTTCTGATTAACTTGCCAGCCACTTTGCCTGTGATATATTCTGTAAGTTTCCATTATGCTACTCTTTAAACTCTCTTGGTAGAGAGAACATACCAAAATCTGTTTTTGAATTACTCTTCTTCATTACTCACAATCTCTTTGTCACTAAAAATATGAAGATCATTAAGTGGCCTCAAAGGCCACATGAATCTAAAGACATAGTAACACAAAGAAAAATAAAATATTGACCCACCTACTATTTTGGTTCCTGCTTCTTTCCAAACTGTCCTTGGCTCCTTGAGTGGTCTGAGATTGCTCATCTGTGTTCTGTCTTCCAGGGCCACAAACAGTTGGCAGCTTACAAAGCAATAAATATATATTTCAGTGCTTTGATGAGGGAATTCTCTTCGCTTTCACCACCATTCAAAGCCATTCTTGCTAAATGTGTAGAAATTACCAGATCCACCATGATGATTTCTTTTTCTGTGTTTCTTATCTAGTAATCTTTCTCTTAGTTGGAGGACTTTATCTAGAAATGTTGGACTCCAAGAACCCAGTCCATACCGAATACAAATGGAAAATGTTCAGGAAAGTGATTTTTTTTTTTTTTTTGCGGGCAGGGGGGAGGTGGGGATTGAACCTCAACCACAGAGCCATATCCCAGCCCTATTTTGTATTTTACTTAGAGACAGTTGCTTAGTGCCTCACTTTTGCTGAGGCTGGCTTTGAACTTGTGATCCTCTGCCTCAGCCTCCTGAGCCCCTGGGATTACATGCGTATGCCATGTAATCCAGCAGTAAAGTGTATTTTTTAAAATATTTATTTATTTTTAAATTTTAGGTGGATACAATATTTTTATTTTACATTTATGTAGTGCTCAGGATCGAACCAGTGCCTTGTGCATGCTAGGCGAGCACTCTACCACTTAGCTACAACCCCAGCCCAGTAAAGTGTATTTTTAATTTCTATTTTGTCTGCTCATGAAGGCAGCAGATCTTTGTAGTAGCAACCCTGGGCTTGGACATTAATCCAAGCTTCACTCAAGACTAATCTGAGAGAATCCTGTACTTCAGTTTCCTCATCCATAAAACAGGGACCATTAATTCCTACCAGTGCGGATCTTATGAAATTAAAAATAAAGGCTATGATACTTTGGAAGTAGCAGAAGAAACAAAGTTTATGTCCTTCATTCAAAAGAGAGATTTTGGAGGCTGGGATTGTAGCTCAGTGGTAGAGCGCTTGCCTAGCATATGTTGAGGCACTGGGTTCAATTCTCAGTACCACATATAAATAAATAAAATAAAGGTCCATCAATAAATGAAAAAAATTTTTTTAAAGGAGAGATTTTGGGATCTGCTTTTCCAAACTTTAGTATAATCTTAACAAACTTAATTTCCTAGCTTACTGAAAATCAAAGCAACAAAAGTGGGAGTTGGAGATGGCAGCAAGACACATAAAAGTGAGAGGAGACATCAAAAGTGGTCACAAAGGATGAGCACGGTAGTATACACCTGTAATTCCAGTGACTTGGGAAGCTGAGGCAGAAGTATTGCAAGTTCAAGCCAACCTCAGGAACCTAGCGAGACCCAACAACTTAGCAAGATACTGTCTCAAAATAAAACATTTAAAAAGGGCTGGGAAGCTGGGCATGGAGGCGCACACCTGTAATTCCACCTGAAATAAAGCCTCTACTAGTTGGTGTTTTTATATGTCATTTCCTGCACATAAGTCAGGGGCAAAGTTGACCCTTCCTCCCACTCTGATTTACCTGTTGGCTGGTCTCTGGCTGTTCCCTAGTGCTTTCTTCAGATACTTGGGTGAAAGACTGCCAGCCACAGTCACTTCTTTTCTTGGGTTTTTTGCCCAAATGTCCCCCTTCAAAGCCTTTCACTGTTCTTGGAGACCTTGCCAGGGTTGGGCAATTGCCACTGGTGTCTGACTTGGGACTCCATGAGAGCTGCATGACAGGAGGAATATAACTCAAAGCTGGGGGGCCCAGGGCTGAAGGTGAGTCATGGGTGTCTGAAAACTCTCTTGAAGTAGCCCATAAAGACCTGCATGTTTCCTGCTCATTCTCTAACAACTCAAGTTCATCTATTTTCTGCTGAGTGTTCCTCAGCAAATCAGCATTCTGGTGCATTAATGTCTGTGAAATCTTCAGATTCAGCACACACTTACTGATGTACTCCTCAGTCATGGACCTGCTGCTCACTTTGCCCTTGGCTTCTCTGGTTGGCTCAGGTAGGCTGAGTGAAGCAAGTGAACCATTTTGCCAGTACCCAAAGGAGAGCTCTGTGTCAACTTCTGAAGAGCTCTCATCTTCATCACAAAAGTAAGCCTCTCTCTCCATCTTCTCTAACTCTTCTTCCACAGACTGCAGTTCATCTACCAGGTTTGGTCTATACCCCTCAAGAGATGAAGCAGTTCCTGGGTGCTCCTCCTCTCTGTTATCCCCCAAATGTAAACAGCCTGAGTAGATCTCATTGATTTCGAAGCTACAGAGGCTTTCCTGACTTGTTCGGGGGTTGTGGATCTCTTCTGCCATAAATGGAGGAGCTGGAAAAGGAGTACCTGGATTCTGAGATTCCTGGGCCATCAGACTTGAATCAGGGATCTGAGGAGCTAATGTTACCTTTGCGGTGGGAGAAAAGTGACCCCTTGGTGAATGTGGCTGACTACCTGTGGAAAAGAGGAGTAATATACATCTGATTAAAGGGATCATATTCATCCAGGTGTGATGATGTACGCCTGTAATCCCAGCTAATCCAGAAGCTAAAACAGGATGATCACCAAGTTTGAGGGCTGCTGAGCACTTTAGTAAAACTCTTTCTCAATAAAGGGCTGGAAATATAGTTCAGTGGTAGAGCACTCCTGAGTTTAATCCTTTGTACCAAGACTTAGCTATTGCTTAAGAGGCATAAGAATATAGAAATGAACCAGGCATAGTAACACATGCCTATAATTCTAGTGGCTTTGGAGGCTGAGGCAGGAGGATTGCAAGTTCAAAGCCCACTTTAGCAATTTAGCAAGGCCATAAGCAACTTAGCAAGACACTATCTCATAAATAAATAAATAAATAAAAAGGGATAAGGATGGGATGCCAAATCCTAAGAGAAATGTTCCGAGCTTCATTTATAATGTGCTCAAAATGTGTTTAACTGGCTGGGTGCAGTAGTACAGACCTATCATATCAGCTTGGGAGACTGAGGCAGGAGCATCACAAATTCAGGGTCAATTTCAGAAACTTGGTAAGGATCTGTCTCCAAATAGAAAATAAAAAGTGTTGGGAATGTAGATAAATGGTAAAGCACCCCTGGGCTATATCGCCAGAATCAGAAACAAAATAAAATGTGTTTAAATGTCAAGATATACAAAATGATACACCCCTGGATTACAAGGACTATACTAAACCTTCTTTTTTTTTTTTTTTTTTTTTTTGGTACCAGGGACTGAGCAAACCAAAGGTGCTTAACTACCGAGCCAAATACCTAACACTATATATATTGGTACCAGGGATTGAACTCAGGGGCACTTGACCACTGAGTCACATCGCTAGCTCTATTCTGTATTTTATTTAGAGATAGGGTCTCACTTAGTTGCTTAGCACCTAGCTGTTGCTGAGGCTGGCTTTGAACCTGTGATCCTTTTGCCAACATACCCTTTTATTTATATGTTTTATTTATAGACAGTGTCATGCTAAATTACTGAGGCTGGCTTTGAATTCATGATCCCCCTGCCTCAGGCTCCATAGCCACTGGGATTATGGGCATGTGCCACAGCACCCGGCTTCAGCTTTCTTTATATACAAAAGCATGTGATTATTTATGTGAGTCAGAGCTATATGCTCGGTACTTTTTTTTGAGACGAGGTCTCAGTATATCACCCACATTATCTTAGAACTCCTTGATCTCAAGCAATCCTCCTGTCTCAGCTTTCTGATTACTGGGATTACAGACACATGCCACCACACCCTGCTAGAATTATGCTCTTGGTGAGCATCTAATAAAAAGCAGTTGAGACATGGTTCTCATGGGAAGGATAAATAATTCCAAAAAACAACTCAACTCCAAAAAATAATGCCAGAGCTGACTGCATATCATCCTTGTTGTAAGCTTGAAGTAAGTGAAATGAAGAACAGAAATAATGAGAATTTGAGGGGCCACTCTAAAGATCTCCAGTCCTGTCAAGAGAATTCAACTGACTTTGGAATTAGAAGGCCTAGGTTCTACAATAACTTCTGTAACCCTGAGCAAGTCACAACCTCCCTAAACCTTAGTTTTCTTATCTGTACTGCTTTCCAAATGTACTAAAAAGAAATAAAGTAGGAAAAAGGTTTTAAGGAAAGACCAAAATGTTAACAAACTATTTCCAAGTGGTAGAATTAAAATATTACTAAATTTTTCTTCTTTACACTATTCTAAATTTTCTATAATGCAGAGACAGTAGTTTTGTTTTGTTTTGTTTTGTACTAGGGATTGAACTCAGGGGCACTCAACCATTGAGCCACATCCCCAGCTCCATTTTGCATTTTATTTGGAGACAGCGTCTCACTGAGTTGCTTAGCGCCTTGCTTTTGCTGAGGCTGGCTTTGAACTCGAGATCCTCCTGCCTCAGCCTCCCAAGCCCCTGGAATTACAGGCGTGCACCACCATGCCCATCTTGTTTTGATTTTTTGAGATGAAGTCTCACAATGTTGTGCAGGATGGCCTCAAACCCTTAGATTCAAGCAGTCTTCCTGCCTCAACCTCCCGAGTAGCTGGGATAAAAAGCACAGGCCACCATTCCAGGTTAGTTAGGAGACAATAGCTTTAAATTTAAAATTATTTTCAGCTGGACATGATGGCACACTCCTGTGATTTCAGCTACTCGGGAGAATGAAGCAGAAGAATTGTAAGTTTGAGGCCAGCCTGGGCAACTTAAGAGAGACCTGTCTCAAAATAAAAAGTAAAAAGGGGCTGGTGTTGCAGCTCAGTGTTGGAGGGCTTGCCCGGCACAAGGAGGCACTGGGTTTGATCCTCAGCACCACATAAAAATAAATAAATAAAATAAAGGTATTATGTACATCTACAACTAAAAAATAAAAATAAATAAAATAAAAAGGGTTTGGAATATAGTTCAGTGATAGAGCACTCCTGAGTTGAATCCCTAATACCACAAAAAAAATCATTTTTATATTTGTGAAGCAACTAGATAATTCGTAAATGTAATCATGCTAGAAATAAACATTATTACTAATCAGTTTTGCATCCAACCACGTACTTATAGAACTGAAAAAGTCTAATATAATTTTAAAGATCTTGATTTTTCCCTAAGGAATCCATCTTTTTCCAGCATGGATTACATGTGCAGTTTGAGGAATCAATTAGTTACCATTCATGTGACTCTCAAAACACACTGGTGTCAAAAATAATATCCAAGCTGTGAATTAAGGCCATACCTGTTTCCTTTAGCTCTTTGATTTCCAAGTCTGAGGTTGCTTTTGCATGTTCTGAAGTCAATCCTAGATAGACACTGACATCAGGATGGGGTTCATATCTCTGTGCCCTGGGGCTCTTAGTTAGCTGAGTTCTTTGGGCTCCAATAAATTCCTATTAACACCAGAAATATTGTCAAGGACATTATCTGCAGTCATCTGAATGTCACTGATGTTTCAGAAACCAAAATAGGTAACGGATAAACTCCCTCTTACTTGTGTTGGGTTGACTTAACTACAGTTCTCATTAGCCAATATATTGTTATTCCAAAACCTTGAAAGCAATAATAACTGCTATTCATTGAATCTCTGCTATGTGCTTATAGTGTGCCTCTGTGATGCATTGAACTCCACCTCCCCAATCCCGGGACCCACTCTCTTCCTCAATTAACCTCACCAGGTTAAGCTGTTAGGCTTTTCTCAGAAACACAGGAAGAGTATAATAAAATGAAGATTTCCAAAACTTCTTACAATTTATCTCTAGTTTCTCCCTATTCTCCTGAGCTGGGTAAGCAAAAATAAACTCCCAACAAATTTGGGGCTTGCCTTTAAGTCATTCTTCAGAATATACCGGATATCTTGAAGGTTCATAGTTCGGTCTTTCTGCTTGACCTGGATGCCTGATTTAACAATATCATAGTAAGGTTTTGGAAGCCTGACATCAGCCTCTAAACAATTTCCCAAGACTACAGCTTCTTTAATAACTGAGCCGTCTAAGCCATTCCAGGGTATGTTGTCTATAAGGAAAAAGTCATAGGTAACATTAAGAAATAAATTGAAGTTGTATAACCTTAGTCAAGTCACCCAACCTCTTTAAACATTCACTTCTTTCTGTAGAAAAACTACTTAGAAGCCCAATCACAAACAAAAAACTACTCACTTACCAGGGAAATCCCTGACATTTAGACAGAGAGTAATAGTGTCAACATCATGTACACATTGGTTCCTCACTGACAGACTTGGGGACCAAAGAAAGTTTCATGGCATTAGACTGGACAGCCCAATACATTTATCTCATTGAAGGTCATGGTTTTACCTGTGGGACTGCAAACACCACGAAAGGTTCCTAACTCTTGGTATTCCCTCAGTGAATAATACTCTGTGTGTGTGTGTTCCTCTTTTGAAGGAGTCCTTATATCTTCTAATATGTGACTACTTCACATTATACTCTTGTAGGATTGAAAGGGTTTCTATTTCATTCACTGGTTATATATCTACTGAACCCTGGGTATGCTTAATTTTATATTTACTTCTCAGAAGCCAGTCTTCCCCTCATTTATCAATCCTTAAGAGGCACATCAGAGATTCAAAAATACTGACATCAAAACTTAGTTTAAAATTTTTTGTTTGGGGGCTAGGGATGTAGTTTAGTGGTAAAGCATTTGCCTAGCATTCATAAGGCCCTGGGTTCAATCCCTAGCACTACAGAAAGAGAAAAACCTTTGCTTGGATTAAATGCATTATCATGAACGAGCAGGCGAAAAAGCTTTGCTGAATCTTAAAGAACAGTTAAAAGAGAAAGGTTTCTGGGAGACCATCTTGCATCTTCTATAAACACAGATAAGCTTCCTTAATGAAATCTGTCAAGTGTAGTGGTGCAAACCTGTAATCCCAGCGACTCAGGAGGCTGAGGCAGGAAGATAGTAAGTTTGAGACCTGCCTTAGCAACTTACTGAAACCCTTAGCAACTTAGCAAGACCTTATGTCAAAATTTAAAAAATTAAAAGGTCTGGGGATGCAGCTCAGTGGTAAACTGTCCCTGGTTCAACCCCTAGTACCAAAAAATAAATAAAAGAAAAATATTTTTCTTTTTCTTTTTTTTAAAATAATATTTATTTATTTATTTTTTAGTTTTCGGCGGACACAACATCTTTGTTTGTATGTGGTGCTGAGGATCGAACCTGGGCCGCACACATGCCAGGCGAGTGCGCTACCGCTTGAGCCACATCCCCAGCCCAGAAAAATATTTTTCTAAGTTGTACATTTTCATAAAACTAAATAATTCCCAAGTGGGAGAACCCAACCTGAAAATGAGGATTAAAACAACATTAACATGCTCCTTGATCACCTGTTAAAATCTCTTGTATGATCATGGAAAAGCTGTAGACATCTGACTTCACTGTGGCCGCCTTCTGTAAGATCACCTCCGGAGCGGCCCAATTGTACAGCTGAGTGGGGAGGGGTACTCGAGTCAGGTCCCTGTGTATACCACTGTCCTGGCTACAGAAGGAAACACACAAGGCAGGGCTCATGTCTTAAAGGGTCTTTGTGATAACCACACAGTGCACTGATGAGATATTTGTGAAAACCGGCAACTTCTTTAAGCTTCTGGAAATGAAGCCAGATCCTGAGCTAACCCCCACTGCCCTGGATAGAGCTGTTCAAACACCCGAAATACTTGGTGATTCCTGCCCACCCCCAACCTCATCAGAATATTCTCCCACCCACTCCACTCAAGTCACAGGGACCTTCTTTGAGCTACTCCAACATGCCAACTACATTACCACTTCAAGTCTTTGCACAGGTGTTTTCTTCTGTCTGGTATGCTCTGTCCAAGGATCCTAGAGCAACTTGTAACTAAAGTATTAGTTGAAAGTCACCTCCTCTGGGAGGCCTTTTGATTACCTACTCTAAAATAGTCCTGTTTTATTAGCTTCAGGACACTTGTTATCTGAATTTTTTTTGTTCATTTTTTTAGTTTACTATTTGCCTCCTCTCCATTGGAGTCAATTCCTTGAGAGTAGGTACCTTATTAGCATGCATGGTGGCACACACCTGTAATCCCAGCAACTTGGGAGACTTTGGCAGAAGTATCCAAGTTTGAGGCCAACCTCAGCAACTTAGCTCTGTCTCCAAATTTAAAAAAAAAAAAAAAAGGCTGGGAATATAGTTCAGTGGTAGAGCACTTGCCTAAAATGCACAAGGTCTGCAGTTTTCACTACTGCAAAACAAAAGCAAGAGACAGTAAGTTCTTTCCTGGTCTGGCATAAGGATGACCATTTCAAACTTTGGGTAAACTTCCCTAAATAACCTAAATAACATGTCTTTCAGCAGAGTTTTGGGTTTTTTTTGGCAGGGGAGGACAGGGGTATGGTTATGAGGTATTGAATGTATTTTGTGCACACTAGGCAAGCACTCTACCACTGAGTCTCATCCCCAAGAAACCATGAAGTTATAATACCTGGTACTAAATTTTTGGATATATTGCTGAATAGTAGATGTGGCTTTGTGTAGTGTGAGCAGTATGGAATTGTACATACTTGCATATTTGATGTTTAAATACATACTTAATATATAAGTGTACATCTTTAATGTATGAATTTAATGTGTTTGCATAATCATTACACAATTATACAATAAATTAATACAGCTTATATTAATATCACAGAAAAGGCAATTTGTTTTGTTTTGTTTTTGCTGTGCTGGGGATCAATCCCAGGGCTTTATATATGCTCAATCACTGAGCCCCCAGAAAAGCAAAGGAATGTTGTATTGTCAGAGATGGAGATGAAGCAGCAGCATATATGACTCTTCAAGTTGGAAGGGAATTCTAAGAGGGAAATACCCACCTCTCTCAAGGGTGTCTAAAGCTTTGGCAAGGGACAAGTAATTTATAATCCAGGTTTCTTATTTTCTTTCACCTTCCTCTCTTACAATCTTTTCTTCCTTCTCTGTTAAAGCCAGCTGTGTGGGGATCTTCTTTTCTGGTTGTCATGGTAGTAAAGTTATTTGTCTGGGCTTTAGCTTTGACATCATTAAAATTACATTTGGCCTCAGCTATGTGACACCACTTGCAAAAAAAAAAATCTCTAAAGATTCCATTAAGAAAAAGCTGAGGGGGCTGGGGATGTGGCTCAAGCGGTATCGCACTCGCCTGGCATGCGTGCGGCCCGGGTTCGATCCTCAGCACCACATACAAACAAAGATGTTGTGTCCACCTAAAACTAAAAAATAAATATTAAAATTCTCTCTCTCTCTCTCTCTTTAAAAAAAATTAATTCTGCATTTCCACCCTTTCTTGTCTTTCCTTTCTAAAAAAAAAAAAAGAAAAAGCTGAGGAGTAGGAAAAACTGCTGTTATCACTTTTACATCAAGAGAGAGTGCTGACCCTTGACAATGACATTCAACAAACTAATATGCCCAAGTAGAGTGTTACCAAAAATAAATGTGAAATTGACAGTTTTTTTTTGGATTCTTGGATAACCAACTCACATTATCAACTTTCAAAAAAGGGTACATTGTTATAGTTATGACTACAATTAACATTTCTGCCTAAAATTCTGAGCTCGGGCTGGGGATATAGCTCAGTTGGTAGAGTGCTTGCCTCACAAGTACAACGACCAGGGTTCGATCCCCAGCACAAAAAAAAAAAAAAAATCCTGAGCTCAATAAACCTAAATGAGAATCTATACTTTCTTGCCATAGCCATTGACCCTGGTTACTTCCCACCCCATCACCTGGACAGTTGATCCCATCTTTCTTTGCATTTTTGATCCACTGGCTCCACCCTATGGCCTCCTAGCTGATCTTCTTGCACTCAATCTCCCAATCCATACTGCCTCTGTGGCCTAGAGGTATATTCTCCCACCTGGCTCTAGATCTAGTTATGCCTCTAACCAACCAACCAGGTAACTTCCCACCATCCTTTAACCTCTTCGGGCCTCATATATAAAAGGACAAGGATGGCCTGAGAGTGTAGCTCAGTGGTAGAGCCCTTGCTTAGCATGCTAAGGGCCTGGGATTGCAGCACTGGAGGAGGGGTGGGGAACATGCCCAGACAAACCATCTTCATTTCACTTTAGGATTCACATTTCTATGGGACAGCAAAAGCAGAAGGAAGTGTTATTCCTCCTTTTCAACAACAGATGGTGCTCCATCATTGACCAATAGTTTGAATCTTGTCAGCTTTCCTGAAAAGTTTCTGGTGGTGTTATTAACAATAAAAAAGTCCAAACTCCTCAGTTCCCACTGGTCTGGAATTCACAGCCAATGTGGTCAACTTTGGACCTTCTGTGGACCATTTTTCCTTTAGCTAGATTCATCTAATCATTTAACAATGACTTGACTGAGCATATATTATATGATTGCTGAAGACAGTGATAAACAAGTCATTCTGCTCCCTGGGAATTCACTACCTAGTAGGGCTTACACACTAAGTAGAAGTGCATGTGAGAAAATGGATGTGAAAAGTACCTCGGGAATAAGGGTATTGATGCAGCTTCAGGGGATGTGCTGAAATGAATTTAAAAGAAGTCAACATGAATTCTGCTGTCATATATAACTAAAAAAAATAAAAATAAATCATATGGTAAAAAAATAAAAATAAAATATGAAAACAAAAATAAAAGAAGTCGGGGCTGGGGATGTGGCTCAAGCGGTAGCGCGCTCGCCTGGCATGCGTGCGGCCTGGGTTCGATCCTCCGGCACCACATACAAACAAAGATGTTGTGTCTGCCAATAACTAATAAATAAATAAATATTTTTTTAAAAAAATAAAATAAAAGAAGTCAACATGAGCAGGTATTCCAGATGGGGGAACAGCACTCCAACAGAATAGAATGAAAGTGGTTTCAAATGGCAAGTAGGAGTGGGAAGGGATAAAGCTGACACTACAGGTAAAGTCCCACTTAGGACGGCTTCTGCACCTTGCAAAGGTGTCTGACTTGATCTTGCAGACAACAACAAAAGTTATTTGTTTGCTGATTTTGTTGTTGTTTTTTGGTGCTGGAGATTGAACCCAGGGCCTCACATATATTAGACAAGCATTCTACCACTGAACTCCACCCCCATACCTTCCCTGAAAGTTTTTTTTTCCAAGTATGTGTGTGTGTGTGTGTGTGTATATTTTTAGTTGTATATGGACAAAATGCCTTTACTTTATTTTTATGTGGTGCTGAGGATTGAACCCAATGACTCACATGTGCTAGGCAAGCTCTCTACCACTGAGCCACAGCCTCATCCCCCTAAAAGGTTTTAACTGAGACTGAGAATAAATATTCTGAGGCTTAGCAGCTTGGCTGGTGATAGTCATCTTTCCTCTGCCTGCTCCCACAAAGAAACTACAACAGCTCTGGGCACATCCTCACTACTCTCCTGCATCTTTCTTGCTCCCTCAGAGTCCCTTCACGCACAAGAAGAAGAGCAATCTTAACTTATAAATCACCCACTTCACCACAATGTTAAAAAAATAAAAAAACTCCTTCCAGAGCATCCCAGTGGCTTAGGTTTAAAATCAGACTCCTTGATGAGGCCCATAAGACCAAGCAAAATCTAGCTCCTGCTCTCTTCTACAGACATAAGTACAGGTCTGGGGATGTGAAAATCTTTCAGTTTCATTCACTCAAAAAACATAGGCCGTGGACTGGGGTGCAGCTCAGTGGTGCAGTGCTTGCCTAGCATATGTGAGGCACTGGGTTTGATCCTCAGCACCACATTAAAAAAATAATTAATTTTAAAAAATAGGCTGCATGCCCACTGTGTGAAGGCCTATTCTAGGTACCTGGGATACAGCAGTGAATAAAACAATCCCTGCCCTCATGGAGCTTTGCATCTCATGGAAGAAATAAATTACATAGTACGTGAGAAGCAAAGACCTGTTGAGAGATTCAGAAACAAAGCAAGAGAGAAGGATGGATGGGAAACATGGATAAGAGATGGTAGGAGACCTAAGTAAGGCTTACTGGCTGAGCAAGTGGCTGAGGCTTCTCAGCAGAGCAAAACCAACACTGGGCCAAAGGCTCAAAGTTGTGGATGGCAGCAAAGAAGTGTAGAAAAGATCCTCTTCCTCGTAAAGTCTTGGGTAGAACATGGAGTCTGCCCCCAACACTCATGCAGCCTTTGACTCCATCCCAACAGCAAACTAAGCTCATACACCAGCCCTTGAATGAGGGTGTAAGAGTACCTCTCATTGTTCTGAGATCCTGAACTCAGGGAATGACTTTAGTATTCGTGTAGGAGATATGTTAGACCAAAAAGCTCGCTGGCACCTATCATCTTCTCTCACCTACAGCTTGGGCATGTTTCCCAGCCTCCATGTAGTAAGAAAGTGCCTGGGCTCTGTCCATGGCAAATTGGGATATTGTGACATGTCCATTTTAGGCTGCTCATTCTTGCTCCCTGGTCAGCAATGTAAAGAATGCAATAGAGGACTGAGGCGAGTCCTTTCCCTTTCCATCTTGGCACTTTATCTTACTTGCAGCAGCCCCAGTTCCCAGTGCTGCACATGGAGGTGATTACGCACTTACTGCCTCAGAACGCAGAGCTACCCATGGGACAAACACATAACAGTGCCCACTTCAACACACATGCTAGATTGCAAGGTAAGACATACACCTCAGTTGTGCTAAGCCACTGAAAATTTTGGAGTGGGTAGTTAGAGGCTTTACACACCATGGCTAACATGGCCTCTTGTTACATGTTTACTAAAATGAGAATGTCCTGAGCAGAAGTAAGTTCTCTAAAGTCTCTGCAGGCTTGGCAGACAAGCCAAGCCATTTGGAAAATCTCTTCTACCACCGATGCAAAATTCTGCCCATCAATGAAGAAACCTGCCCAGGTCATATTCTATCTCTATAGAAAAGGTCCCCAGGGAGACCCTCTTCAGAAGAAAGCCACATTTGAGGTTGTAACCTACCTTTCCATCATGTACTCCAGGTTTGTCAGTCTTGCTTCCCCTGTGGAGACGATGTGGACAGCGTAGGAACTGAGGGAGCGGTGGACAAACCCTCGAGAATGCAGGTATCTCAGGGCGTCAGCGATCTGGAGCAGTAAGGGCACAATCACCTCCATGTGCAGCACTGGGAACTGGGACCGCTGCAAGTGAGAGATAAAAGTACCAGGGACAAAAGGGAAAGGCTCACTGATACTGTAGGATCCTTTGTAATTTCCAAAGTTTTTTCATTTGATTTTTATAGCTATCTGGTATCCCAATGTATAGGTGGAGAACCTAAAGTTCAGTGAGGTTAGTTGACTGGCCTGAAGTCCTACTGACCCAGGCCCCCAAACTCTAAACCTAGATTCCTTCAGCTAAGCTGAAAGTTCTCAAAGCCTGGTATATACCTGCAGGGTAAACCTTGGGGAGACTTTCAGGGGAAGTTCCTCCACTACTACCAGTAAACATGTCCTGGGCCTCTCTCTGTCCAAGCCTATGCTCTTGAGAGAATCTAGAAGCTCAAAGGACCTCACAATATGCAGGTAAGCAGTCCAGATTCTATACCAGTCAGATGAACCAGAATGATCACCCTAGGAGGACAGAAATTTACTCTCATCGATGTACCCAAGTGATGCTTTTCCTCCAGAGAAACAGCATTTTAAGGTGATGCCCTCAGTCAGGGAAAGAAAATGAAAAACAGAAAGATTAGGAGGTCCTCAGGCAGGAGGACTAGCAGGCCATGTTGGAGAAGGATCCTTTTTGGAGGGTCTCTCTTTATCCCTACCCAGTTCTAACGACTTGGTCTTTAGAACAAATCATGGAGAAAGAGAAACCCTCCATGAGCTCATTTTGAGGCCATATGCCAGCCCAAAGCACCCTTGCCAGGAAATCTGTCCCCCACCTCAAAGAAATCTGAGAGGCAAGAAGGGAGGCCTCTATACAAACCAGGATAGAGCCCGAGTGAAAAATGTAGGAAAATAAAGCTAGTGGCTTTGTTAGCTAGAAGTATGTTCATTGTTCTGAATCTGTCAAGCTCTTAGATAGTGATAAAGCAAAACTGCAAATAACAGCATCACATTAGTTCTGATCATGTGCCTGTCAGCTTGAAATGGCATGTTACACAGCCCCAATAAAGAAAAAGGCTTTGGAAATGTATCTTCTAGGCACAAATGGGGAACCCTGTGCTGAGGCAAGGGAGAGAGGGCAGGAGGAGTGGGGAGGGCAGCTAGGCAGAAATCATGGAACAGTCATTTACTCGTTCATGGAGAACACTGAACAGAGTGCCAATGGTGATGCGCTCATACACAAGCCGGGTCTTCTCCAAGTCCTGGGATAAGCACACAGCCATCAGCTGTAGCAGGTGAGGGTGCCGCAGCTTGCTGAAAAAAAAAAAAGAAGCTTCAGAAGGGGTCCAAGGGTAGAAGGACATGGTGTCCTTTCTTCTGAAACCTCTGAATACATTCTAAACAGTTACCATTGTACATAGCATTTTCCAAAGAAACAGAATATGTAAAAGGCTCAGTGGCTCGTGCCTATAGTGCCTATAATCCTAGCCTGAAGAAGAAGGATCGCAAGGTCAAGGCCAACCCTGGCAACTAGCCAAACCTTGTTTAAAAATTAAAACAAACAAACAAAAATGGCTGGGGATGAAGCTCAGTGGTAGAGCACCCATGAGTTCCATTTC